GAATGAGTCGCCACGAGATCTGTAAACACACAAACAATAATCCAAGTAGAACACCAGACTCAATACAGCACATCTCAATTGGGCAGCTGGTCCCTCATTTGTGAAGTCTGCAACTTCAAATTTTCTATTCTTGGAACTCAATTTCGATTCCTTGTTTTGCAGTCTCAGGAGAAACTCATCTAGGGCCGTTACAATATACCACTGAAGTTAACCCATTCTTTGAATCTCGTACTGTATACGTTCACAGCTCCAGTTTAGGAAATTTGTTTTTACGTTGAAAATAAACTTGAACCGAAATATAAATAAAATAATAAAACAATAAAAATATAAATATTTATAAATTTCACAATTACAAAACAAGACATTTCTATTCGCCGATGAAATACTGTGATACTACTGGTATATGATGACGGCCTAATGGCTAAAGACGCATTTGGTTACGCCCGTTATATATATATATATATTATAACAAGAAATGGGTTTGGTATTTCGATAGTATAGGAATGTATTTTTTTTATCCCTATCATGGTTGAGATTGAGACGGGTGACTTACCAATCTTCCAGGCAGAGTTCCATTTTTACGAATATCAGTGTTCTGGCCGCAAGGATCTCTGGGAAGGAGAATGATGACGTACGACACCATTTTGTGGGATGGTTTTAGGTAGACCTTGGATATATGCAAATAAACAAAAAATAAAATCGAATGAATGAGAATTATAATAAAAAAACAAATTTAAAATTGTTTCATGCTTGTGTTTGCGCTTTAATTTCATAACAATTTGAATAAATTATTTGTTCATAGCAATTACTAAATTATTGTTCACGGATGTGTATTCGCCTGAACGTGGGCATCACGTTTAGTTGACAGGCACTTTTTGTCTTTTTTGCTTGGTTAGTGCACACTCTGACAAACAGAGAGCGTGTTAGTCGTCAACTACATTGACTGACGGGACAATTCTGCTGTTTACCGACCCTTGTCGGTTTAAATATTGAAAAATGTGCGAATATTTGCATTTCAATTTTTTGCATTGAAGCCGAACGATAAAATGCTGTCATGTAAACGTAGCAAATGTTTAAACGTTATGACCATCACATGCACAAGGTCAAGGATAGATTTAACTACTGATGTAT